CATATCTTCACTTCAGTTGACTTAGGAATGTTAGAGACCATATCTCATACTTGTTCACCACTTAATCTAGGAGGAGACTCATCTTTCTCAATTCTATTTTTGTAAAAAGCATCCTTATTTCTTCTAAAAACATGATTCTGAGGTAAAAATTGACGATGACAATCAAACCAAGTCATTTTTCTTCCATTTTTTAGTGAAAAAGCTTTTGATTTTTTCATACATATTGGACAAGCAAATTTTCCAGCAGTACTCCACCCAGACAACATCCCATATGCAGGAAAATCATTTATTGTCCACAATAATGCAACTATCAATAGAAAATTTTGCTTTTTTGAGGCATCATATGTTACTACACCATTATTCCACAATTGTTGCAATTCATCTACCAATGGTTGTAAATACACATCAATTTTAGCTTTTGGATTATGTGGACTTGGAATGATCAAAGTCAAGAACATATAAGGAGTCATTATACATAATTCTGGAGGGATATTATATGGTGTGATAATTACTGGCCAACAAGAATATGGTATTGTTGATTGGCTAAAAGGAGTGAACCCATCGGCACACAAGCCAAGTCTCACATTTCGAGGTTCTGAGGCAAATTCAGGATAAAATTTATCAAATTCCTTCCAAGCTTCCCCGTCTGAAGGATGACACAACACACCTTCCCTACGATTTTCATAGTGCCACCTCATGTGTTCTGCAGATCTCGTTGAAGCATATAACCTTTGTAATCTAGGAATGAGTGGCAAGTAATGCAATCTCTTATGGGGAACATCTTTAGGATTTTTCTTGCATTCATTGGGTGCTTTATATCGAGGCTTTCTACAAAATTTACATTCCTTCAAAGTACTGTAACTTTTGTAATACAACATACATCCATCAATGCAACAATCTATTTTTATCCTTGATAAACCAAGTCCTGCTACAAGTTTCTTTGTTTCCCTAAAATTGGAAGGAATAACATTCTCCGGGTGGTTTGACTCTTTCATAAATTTCATGACGTCATTAAAACAAGCTTGCGACATATTGTGTTTAGATTTTATACTCAACATCGTAATAGCAGTAGACAACTCTTATGTATTTTTACATCCCGACCATAATGGTTGTTGAGCCGAATTTAACATTTCGTAAAATTTGGCAGCTTCCATATTTGGAGGTTCCTCTTCATTTGGTATAAAATGTTGCTCATGATTAAGACCAACAACATCAAACACCATATCTTCATGTCTATTAACACTATTAGAACCCCATGGGTGACTACTACTCGACACTGAATGCATATCAACATTAACATTAGTATGAGAGATTTTCTCTCTGAGAGATTTTCTCTCCATGAGATGTCCAATACCAATACTCAAATGTAAATCATTTTTCGGAGAATGTGAACATTTACTTCATTTGGAATTAAAAACCTCTCATTTTTACATTCCTTACATGGACACCTTATTTTTCCTTCAATCAAAAAGCTTGGTTGTTGACAAGAAAAAGTCATAAACACATCGAGGCCACTTAAAAATTCATTTGTATATGCTTCCCGACCAGGAAGAAGCCTATTATACATCCATGCTTGACGTTTAGATATGTCCATTATAAGATTGACTTGAAAATGCCTAAAATTATTATATATATAAAAAATAATATTAATAATACACATATAACTATTTTGAACAAGAAATTAAAATTATTATTAACCGTAAACTTCATAGACGAGATTTAAAAGTCTTCACAAACTCTTACCAAAACAACAACCTAAAAGGAAACATCAATGTTACAAATTATAACTATATATTATAAAAGGAGTGATCAAGAAAGGTGATTCTTATAAACAAAATAGACTATAATTGGTTTATGTTAAATGGAAACGCAATATTTTATTAGGTTTTAACTTTATAAAATGACATTGAGAATCTCTAAACTTTATCTTAAAAGAAAAAAAATATTATGGATTAGTTTAAATAAAATATATTTTAAAGTATTTACTAAAAAATGAAATCAAAAATTAAAAATATGAGAATAATGAAAAAAGTGAAAAAAAATGACAACTGTAAACGATGAATCGAACAGTTTCATACGAACACTTAGGAAGAAAGGAAAGTTTAATAGTTCAATGCAGTGCACAATCAATCGTAGAGATTGTTTAATTCAACTGAAAACCATTCAATAGGTCATTATAAAATATTATATTATATTATATTCATTTTAATTACCATTTCATAAAAATTCATACAAAAATAAGCATATTTTTTAAAGCAATCTTCTCTGGTTTTTATTTTATTTTTTTGAGCAAAATGAAAAACTAAATAAATTAACTTTTCTATACTTGAACAAAATTATAAAAAAAAAGAGTATATAAGAATATTTCTACAAAGTAAAAGCTAATTTTATTTTATAATTTATTTTTTCTTAAAAATCCTTTGTGATCCAAGACCCTAAATCTAAAACAAAATGACAACATTTTTTCGACACCAATTATGCATTTAGTTTTAACAAGGAAAATAAGAAATGAAACTTCTTAGCATGATTAATCTAAAATTCAAACAGGTGGACCACATGGATGTTTATGTATGCAATTGAGAGGAAACTAGAATATAAATTCTAATGAAACATAACATTTTCAACCACCATAGGAAGCTAAAAGGATATAAAAAAAAAACTTTTAAAATTTTGTTTCATGTCAGAGTGAGTCAGCTACCATGAACCTTCAGCGCCCCCAGTTGGATTCTTGAAGGCAGAGAAATCCCATTACATTTTCAAAGAGAATGGTGGGAAAATAATGACACCTTTATCAGTAATTTTAGATATCTGCCAACAGTCACACATTACACTTAAGTATCATAAATTATTCATTATGCAATAGATAAGAATCCATTTCAATTCAACTAAGAGAAGTGTTGACAATATACATTTCACTCTCTAATATACTCCTAATACACACTTTACATTGGTTAAAATTTGTTAGGCATAGTAAAATCATGAACAGAGCTCTTTGGATAAGAATTGAGACCCTGTAAAATTGTGACTTTCAATGAATTTTAACTAATAATAATAATAAGCTCTTATCTCTAATGCAAAAAAATAATATTGTAATTATTATTAATTAAAACTTCCAGAGCCTTAGTGTAAAAATGACAAAGTAAGTCAAATATAGAGAAAGCTAACTAATGAATAATCACATGCAACAAAAATCAGAAAGCAAATTCCAAGAGAAATATATCACTCAAAATAAAACAAGAAAAGAATTCAAGTCTATGTCTTCAAATGTTAACTGTTAATACTGATTCTATTGAGCACAAGACAGTTGCACATGCACTGCAAGACAAGTATTTTTAGATTCTGCAAAATAAATAATAACAAACTTTTTCAACATGAAACAAGAACCAATATCAACTTGGTTGCTTAAAGGTCACTCCAAAAATCATTGGACTCATATAAAGGAATGAATTTTCTAAACTAGATTTAAAGATGATGTCTTATTGCATTACAAAGGGTACAGGTTAAGAGTATTGGAGGCAGGAAGCAGCAGAAGCGAAAATTATGTAGAGTTTCATTAATAGACCAGAATAACAAACATGCTAAAATAAATATTCACATAACATACATATGCAGGAGATATTGATTACATTACTTCAACGTACTATTCTAAAGCACACCAGAATAACACTCAGAATAAAACCCTAGGTTGCAGTGTTAATCAAATTACGTTAAATGGAGACTCTAAAAATTCCTTCCCCTAATCTTCAACAAACCCCAATCTACAACAGAAATCAAACCCAATTTCATTTCTATGAACCTTAACATTCAAATTAGTAATAAAAAGTAAAACAATAACTAGAATATGTTATAGAATACATTGAATAGTTGAATAAGTTATGTGAAATAGAACTAAAATATCAAAGACTCTGGTGGTTAATTTTATACCTATTTATGTGATATTCTTCGTCTTCCACTACGATTCAAGTCAACCCATCAACAATACAGAGGAAGGAAGAAGAAACAACAGTGATTAAAAAAAGAAGAATGGTAATATGGTCGAAGAAGAAAAAATGAAGAGGAAACGGGTTCTTATTAATGGAATGGAAGTAGAGAGGGAGAAACGTTCTTGAGCGAGAGAGGAGAAACGCTAGAACTGGTTCCTATTAATTATTTTTAAAGTAACCAATTATAAAATATTTTATTATTTTTCTATAACAATAATTAAAATCTTTTAAAAAAAATATTATTAAATCTTTTTTACAAATTTTATTTATAAAACAAATATAAAAAATAATTTTCATTCCTGTCAAATTTTAAATATATATTTGAAAAATAAAATAAAATTATAATTATATAATTGAAGAAAATTTTACAAGTAATTTCTTACTATTAATTTTTTGTAAAAAAATCTTACATATTTTCTAGAAAAAATATTTTACAAATAAATTTGTAATAATTTTTTGTGAAATATTTTTCTTAGGAAAAGTTGTAACTATTTTTTACTAAAAAAAAATTTCCAAAAAAATTCACATGAATTTAATAATTTTTTAGTAGTGTATGAAAAAAAATTCATATTTCAGAGTTCTATTTACTATTTTTCAAATAAATATATTTGAATAAATAATATTAAGATAAATTTATTTTAGTAGATAATCATTTTAGAAAAAATTTAAAAGATTATTATTTTAAAAAATAATAATTTGACCATCTATATAATTTTTATAAACAACTCTTTTTTAATATTATAATAATAATTTTAATTTATTTTTATTTTTATTATATCCTTCTATAAATTATTATATTAATAAAAATGAGTGGTTAAAAAGAGGATATAATTTCTTATATCAAAATATCATCATTATTATTATTTTTTTTTTATTATTTGATGATGCAATATTTGGATGAGGATTATTCGTAGGCCACCGCTTGAGACAAAGCATAAATGATGAGGTGGTTGTCAGATAGTGCTTTTGCTCTTTATGGTGTGTGTGCACGTCGTCATCATCAGAAATTGTTAGAAGATGGTAGAATGTTTTGCGAGTTCGGTGTTGTTGCTCTGTCTCTTCTCATTTTCGGTACTCGCTCTAGCTTCTTCGCCATGCCCCGTCACTGGTTAGTTCCTTTTTCTCCCTTATGCTTACATCGATATTTGTTCTCCTCTTTAATGGTCTTTTAGTTTGTAATTATTATTTTTGGAACTTGACTTGTGTTCCTTCCCACCAGACACTTCATACGGCATATATTTTATTTGCTCGGCGTGAATAGGTTGTTTACTATGCTTTGCACAGTGTGTGTTCGACGATTTGTCGTCGCATGACGACTAACTCGTGCTTGCTATGCATAGTATACGCATTCTATTTCAATCTATTTCGTTTTTTATTTGCTTTGATCATTGACATTAGCATGCATTTCTATGTTGGATTGTTGGATAATGGTTACCTAGCTCTTCATTTTTCAGTACAATTATTGTTAATATAACTTTTTTATGTGAAAAGGATAACAAACAACACTGTGACTGAGATTTTTTTTGGTAATTATGTCACTGGAACGGAGTATCCATGGTTTTGCCGATATCTAATTTACATTTTGAGAACCTGACTTACCACGACTAGTCACCTCACCTTAGGAGGGTCTCTCTTCTCATTTACAGCAGTTTTAATTGCACAATTTTTTCTTTTTCAATAAACTTCTCTCCAAACAATTATGATTGCTCTATTTGAGTGGAAGGGTGAGAGTTATCCTAATATTTTTAGGTTATACATTCAATTATGGCGTAAATATTTTATTAATATTTACGTTTATTTCATTATAATAATAATTAATAAAATTGTTATTAATAGATAATTTTTATCTTTCTTTTAAGTGTTTTTCATTTTAATCAAATAATCCCATTTTTCAATCAGTTTTAACCTCTTTTTCTTAATTTCTGTTTTTTTTTTCACTGTCTCATTTTACATTCTCTCAACTAAACTAAAGATTACACCAAAAAGAAAAGTGAGAAGAGAAAAAGAGAGAGAGAGAGTAAAATGAACATCTCCAGTAAGCTAAAGTTAATTTTTATAGAAACTCCCTTTTTAATTTGAAATTTCTCTAAAAATTAAGGTGCATGAACTAAAATCAACTTAAAAAAAAGTTCTATTCATTTTACATTCTTGTTTTTTCCCTTTTAAGTACAAATGGAAAAATTCATCTAGATAGTCTAAGCTAATATGACATGTGCAAGACTTTCATTTTTTTATTTGTTTACCCCAGATGCTTGTTTTGGATATTGAATGATCATTACTATCTCATGTGCTTTCTTTTTTTTTTTGAATGAAAAAAATCTTTTCAAATATGATAAAGTGTCGCTTATGGTGTCTGTTTTTACTCAATTAAAATTTCTGGGTTCATTTTTTGGATCCACAAATGTACAGGGTTACCAGTGGTGAGAAATATCAGCGAGATTGCTCAGGATAACTACGGTAGGACGGGACTCTCTCACATAACTGTTGCAGGTTCGTTATTGCATGGAATGAAAGAGGTATCCAGCTTAATTTTATTCGATGCAATATATCATTATGACAATCGTTAAATGATGTTATTACTAACTTATCATACTAAACAAAATGATTCCAAATTGTATTGAATGATAGTTATCATGTAGTAAATGTGAAGAAGGGAATTAATTGAAGTATTTTTTTTTCTCCTGTAAAAGTCCTTATGAAGAAACTTGTCCAAAGAGACTCAGTTTTATTATAATGTTTTTTCTAAAGTTGAAGAAGAACTTAGTTTTTACTAGGATAGTTCATAGTCCAAAACTGCTTACACTCTGGGTATTGAGTCCTTGTTGGCATCCATCTGTGTGGTCAATGATGTTCAAAATGCTTGTATGTTATCATATTTCCAATCTTTTCCGGAACAGGTTGAAGTATGGCTTCAAACATTTTCACCTGGAACACACACCCCAATTCATAGGCATTCCTGTGAAGAAGTTTTTATTGTTCTCAAAGGGAGTGGCACTCTTTATCTTGCATCAGATTCACATGGAAGGTACCCTGGAAAGCTAGAGGAGCACTTTATCTTTCCAAATAGCACCTTTCATATTCCTGTTAATGATGCTCATCAGGTAAACCATTTTAAGCAACAATGTGATGTTTCCAATTTAATATGATTTTGGAAAAAAAATTGAGAATTATAAACATTTTTGTGAATAATATATCTCAGAACAAGTCATAAACTTAAGAATGTTAAGTGCCAACTTTTCTAAATGTCATGGGTTGTTGATCACTTGATCTAAAGAATTCTTACATTGGCATGTATGGCTATAAGTAATATTTACAGAGCATCATATTGTAATAAGTTCAAACTTTTATTTGAGAAAATATAACAGGCTGGCATGTAGAGCTAGCCTTTTCTGGTCAGTTGCAAGCATCAATGTGTGACCTCAGTGAAAGAGTACTAGCTTTTTGGTTAGGTCTGTGTGCCATGTCAAATGATGTCAAAGAAATGCAAGTTGCGCGAAAGAAGTAACTCTTGGGAGTTTGTTAGAACTTCTTAGTTCCCATCTCCATTGTTTATGTTCTACTCTAACTCGTGTCAATTTGATGGTGAATTTTATTGTTTAGTCAAGGTCTTCTGGTACGCTGTGGATTTTTAAATTACTAAAAAGAATCTGCATTGCAGCTTTGGAACACCAATGAGTACGAGGATTTACAAGTGCTTGTTATAATATCTCGTCCACCAGTTAAAGTGTACGTGCTTCTTCTCTTACCATTCTCTCCATGTTTCATACTTTACTAACTCTTGTTTTGGCTCTTCCAAACATGGTAAACTGCTGAAGCTCTCTACTCAGTGATTTGTGCAAACGCATTCTTATTTCGTAATCTGTTTGGTTTTTCATTCTTTTCTGGTTATGCTGGTTTCACCTCAAGCATCTATGTGGATGACTTTTATTTAAAACAAAAACTTAAGAAATCATACTCTTGAAACTGATGTAGACACCAATGTGAGAGACAAAAATGAGAGATAATAGAGAGGGAAAAAAATTGTTTTATTTTGTGTAATTGAAAGAGAAAACACAAGGCCTATGTATACACAAAATGAGGAGTTGAGACCGACCAGAAGTAACTCATCAGATTAAGCGGGCCGAGTTAATATTGAGACTGAGCTATAAACTAATAAAACAACAATGAGAAACTAAGAGCCTCCTCAAGCTCAGAATGTATGTTAAGCATGCCCAACTTGAAACAAAGATCATTGAAGCGAGTGGGTGGTAGAGCTTTAGTTAGGATATCAACTTGCTGAAGTTGGGACGTAACGGGGAAGAGTTTTATGAGACCATTATGTAGTTTTTCTCTGATGATGTGACAGTCAATTTTAATATGCGTGATCTATTCATAAAAAACTGAATTGGAAGTAATTTGGATGGTTGATTGACTGTCGCAGTAAAGTAAAGCTGGTTGAGTGTTATATCCCTAGGTCATCGAGAAGGCAAGTGAGCCATTGCAACTTGCAAGTGGTGGAGGCTAAAGCATGGTATTCAACTTCAGTCGAATTCTTTGAGACAGTTGTTTGTTTTCTAAAGCGCCAAGCTATAGGAGAGTTATCAAGGTAAATGATATAGCCAGTAGTAGACTACTACTGGGTATCGAGACAAGAAGCTCAATCAAAGTCACTAAAGGCTTTTAGGTGGGTGTTGTTGTTTTTGTCAAAGAAGATACCTTTCCCTGATGCATGTTTGAGATAGCCAAGGATATGTTGGGCGGCTTGATGATGAGCTATAATGGGAGTGTTAACATATTGGCTATGGTGATCAATAATGTAAGTAATATTCGATCTGGTATTGGTTAGCTAGATGGGACGACCGATGAGACAATGGTAAGTAATCGAATCAGGAAGGACTTTGCCATTATCCCTAAAAATCTTTATAAAGTAGTTTATAGGAGTGGAGATAGGGCCGAACTCAAGCATGCCACCATCAACAAGGAAATCAAGGATATACTTACATTGGGAAAGGTGTAGCCTGACATTTCTTCGAGCAACATCAACAAGGTTGTTAAAATCGAGATTATGACTAAGATCGTAGAGAGTTTCACAAAATCGTATATTGTTAGATCGAATAGTAGATTTTACTTTTATATATCATAATAAATATTAATATAATGAAATTAAGTCACATTCCAAAATAAATATAAAAAAATTAACAAAACATAGCTCATGAAATAAAAAATAAATAAAAAATCTGTTATTTAGTTTTAAAAAAACTTTCATATTATATCAAGAAATACAAATAGTTTTTTTACTGTCTCGAAATGGAAATATGTTGAAGAATTTGATTAGTTTTTTTTTACTAGTTTGAACATAAGGCTTAACAAGTTGAAGAATTCGAGTAGATTTTTTTTTACTGTTTTCAATCACAAATATGATGAAGAATTCAAAGAGTTTTTCTTCTTTGACTGTGTGAGAGTTTGACCAAGTTTCTTCTTCTTCTTTTATTATTTCAAACGCAAGTCACAATCCTTCATCGGAAATGAAGCCCTAACCCAATAGCATAACCCCAACTCACTTTGTGCGACGCGCGACATGCGGCATAGTCATGATCGATGATGCATCCCTAACTTGCGACACAATCCGAACCACAACCCACTTCGTGATTCTACGATTTTTATGATTTTGGAAGGCGATTTCATTGATTCTACACTTATGATCTTGCGTGAGAACTGAATCAGTGATAGGGTTCAAAATCATGGAATAGTATTGAACATTAAAACCAATAAAATAGGTAAGATATTCCAAATTTTTAACCTTACAAATTTTTAACCTTAAAGCTTCATCAAATTGCTTAGTGATGTGGGATATTTCATTTGCATTATTCCAGTTTGTAGAATATCACCATAGATAAGAGCTATAATGCTCGAACCTGCAAACTTTAGAAATTAAAGTTGTTAGATATAAGTAGGGGTGTCAAAGTGAGTCAACCCACCTCACATGGGTTGGTTCACCATGGGCTGAGTTGAAAATAAGCGAGCGTAATCTGACTTATTTTATAACGAGTTAGAAATTTTACAACTCGGTTCAATCCACAGGTTAATGGGTTAGGTGGGTTGACTCATAACCTATATATATTTTCCTAATAAGCACGACTTACTAGCGAGACTGAAATGCAATAATGCGGTAACTCAATAAAGTTGTAATGTAACTGAAATGCGGCAAACACTATGGTATAATTGAAACACGGTGGTGTGGTGACACAACGAATGCAGTGGTGTGGTGAATGCGATGGTGTGGCAAGTTGTCGTGCAATTGAAATGCGATACTGAAATGTTGTGGTGCTGGCATGACAAATGCTATTATGCGACTGAAACGCGACAAACATTGTAACTCAATTGAAATGCATTGGTGGACAAACGCAACGAACACGATGACATAGTGATGCGGAAGGATGGCAAGTAGCCCAAGTGCAACAATGAATGCGAGAAACAATTGATGTTAAGCTTGGGTGAGAGTTTGACTTGTAATGGTGACATGAAATAGAGGTGGAGAGGCAAAAATAACATCAATAAAAATTACTAAATTATTATAATTATTTTTAAAATTTAAAATGGTCAACTTACTATTACCCGACTTAAACCTGTGAGTTAAATGAGTCGAGTTTATTTTTAATCCATTATCGGTAGAAATGAAAAAAATCAAACTCAACCCGGTTCGAACCTGTGGTGAGTTGGGTTGGCTTACAGGTTACAACCTATATTGATACCTCTAGATATAAGGAAAGTGGATACTTTAGTATATTATTGTCGACTAGGCTATTTGAGCCCGTAGAGCTCATAGAGAGATTTGTGAAGTTGACAAACCTTTTGTGTATTGCAAGATGCGTCGAGAGAGATTTTCATGTATACTTTCTTGGCTAAGTCTCCATAAAGGAAATACATTGTTAATTTCTAACTTAATGTCTAATTATGTTAGGTGTTAATTGTGGATAACGACTAAGGAGAGGAAGAGAGATTTTCATGTATACTTTCTTGGCTAAGTCTCCATAACATTGTTAATTTCTAATTTAATATCTAATTATGTTACGTGTTAATTGTGGATAACGACTAAGGAGAGGAAGAGCCAAACAACTGTGAGTTGTGTCACATGGAAAAAGTTTCATTATAATCAAGGTCTTCTTGTTGAGTATAACCATGTGTTACAAGCTTTGCTTCATAAAACCATAAGTTTTGTACTTTATTTTATAAATTCACTCATAACCAATGGTCCATTTGTTGGGAGGGAGCTTAGTTGTAGTCCGCATTTGATTAGCCGAGAACTTGAATTTCATCTTCTATAGCTTTGACCCAATGTTTAATCTTACAAGTTTCATTGTAGGATATCGATTTAGTTTTGACATCAATGTTCATGATTAACCTTTTGAAAGATGAAGATAGTCTTTCATTATATATGTAGTTTCATTAGATATGTAGTTCGGGATAGGATATTGAATATTAGTGTTCAAATATGTATTAACAATGTGATAGTTTTTAAAATAAGTTGGTAATTGCCTACCTTTTTTCGTCCGACTAAGTATCATTAGAGGATCCAAGTACAAAACCATTATAGTGTCAACAACAAAATTATCATTATAAATTTCAAAATTAGTAGGCATAAATGGGCATGCTCATTATTAATATGATTAGTGGGAGGAAAATTATTTTCATAAAGGATTATGTTGTTAGTCTTGAGATTGTAGAGAAAATAACCTTTTGTGTTGGGATGTAATCCAAGAAAGATTGTTGCATTAGTACGATTATCCAACTTTTTCCTATGAGCAATTAGAGTACTAATATAAGAGAGATAATAAGAAACACAAAGATTACTTAGATCGAAGTGTTTAACATAGAGTCTTTCATGGGCGAATTGTTGTTTAGGTGAGGAGGAGGAATCAAGTTATTCAAATAAAAACATGCTTCAGAGTAAAACACCAAAAATTCGGGTTAGAATGAAATAACATGGGATGAGTGACATTTAAAATATGTTTATGTTTTCTCTTTATAATACCATTTTGTTTAGGTGTTTCAACACAACTGATTTTGTGTACTAAGCCTTTAAAATCAATAAATTTTCATGAAAAATTTTGGATCATTATCGAACTTAATAGTCTTAACATGTTTTTCAAATGTTGATTAAGTGAGTTCTAGTAAGGAAATATCTATGACTATACAAGCATACATCACGATAAGGTCTCCAAATATTAACATGCAAAAGTATAAATGGTGCCAAGGTATGTGACTCACTCTTGTTAAAGGGTAAACACATTCACTTAGCTAAGTGACAAACATTAGAAAATATGTTCTTATTAAAACGAATATAAGATTATTAAAACGAATATAAGAAGTTGTTGCATGATAAGTAAATGTTCATCAGATAAATGATCTAGACAAGCATGCTAAGGACTATCATTATCAACAACAGATAAATAAATAGAATGAGATCGAACGAAGTATATGCCAACCATAACATTAACTAAAGCTTTAATTTTCTTGTCCTAGATAATATAAAATTTATTGGAGAAAACAACATAATATTTTAACATAAAGGTCAATTTAGAAACAAAAATCAAATTATAAGTAAACAAGGGGTTAAAAAGAATATCTTTAAGAAAGAAATCGTCACTAAAAAGAAAAACTAGAAAATCCATTATCTAAGAATTTAAATTTTGTGAGTTTGAAGAGTTTTAGGTAGCAATCATGCTACCTTTTGAATTTGGCAAGTTTGTTAAGTAAGAGGGGGTTTGCTTTATGGGATTATCCAAGTTGAATTGC